TTTGACTAAATAAAAAAAAAAACCTGAGTTAATAAGACTTTATTTAGTATCGATGTAGTTTTGGAGTGTTGGTTTTAGTTTTTATAAATTTTATAACTTTAAATAAAGAAACTTGTTTACTTTTTTGTATTTTTTAATATATTATCATGATTACTAAAAATTAAAAATAATGATTTTAATATTATTAAATAAGTTTATATTTTTGTAATTAGTGTTAAAACTTATCTTCAATAAATGGTTAATTTTTAATTTTGAGTTTGAATAATTATTAAATTTTATAAAAATTAAAAACAAAACTACAATTATACCATATACCAACCATTGTACTCAAAGAAAGTGCTAGAGAGAGAAGAGAGAGAAGTGTGGTTATTATCATATTAATATTATTAAGTTTAGTAAAATTTTTATATATTTTAAAAAATAATAATTAAAAATAATTATTTTAATTTATCATTTAATAAATACTATTAACTATTTTATCAATTAATAATTAATAATTATAATCAATATTTAAGTATTTCAATGATCATTTTTTTAATTTAAAGTAAAATTATTTGAATTCGAATCGCATGGTATACGAGTAGAATGAGATAAGAGATGATAGTTGATTGTCTTTCATTGTGAAACTAAAATGTAAAAAATATATATATAATTATTAATTTTTTTATCAAATTAAATATAATTAATATATCAAAAAATAATATTTTATAATTTTAGTTACTATAACCATTATTGATAGACATATAACTGTGCCCGAGTTACAGCTCAGCTCACAATTACGTAAATTGAGCACTTCTGTCTCTTTTCTAATCTCTTTCTTCCGTTCGGCTTCCCAATAAATAGGGGGGATCACAAGCTGCACTGCACTGCATCAATCTCCACTCTTCTGTAATATATACTGAATATACTCAAGTCCGTACATTTTCTTCTTATTGTCCAATGGTGGATCCAAACCCGTTGCTTCCTGTCTCCATTCCCCCCTATATTCCCCTGCCTGATGATACTCTAGTTGCCCGCCGGAGACCCATTAAGGTTTATCTCCTCATCGTTTCTGGGCTTTTGGCAATTGCTCTGTTTGTGGCCCTGATTGGATACGGGGGATCTGACAATGTCCAACCTCGTGGCAACGAAGGCGGCTCATTGGCCTCATCGTCAAAGCAGCCGGACAGATTGCGTCCCCTGTCACGAGGCCCGGCTGCCGGAGTTTCCGAGAAGGCAAACCAGCAATTCGCCGATATTGGGCGTTTGCGGTCATTTCCATGGAACAACAGCATGCTTTCATGGCAAAGACCAGCCTTCCATTTTCAACCGGAGAAGAATTGGATGAATGGTATATCTCTGTTTCTTCTTTCTATTCTAGGAATTGGACATTTTGTATAAACAATCCATTCTATTGGTTTCTATTGTTATCGAATTGATATGCTGATTGCCTATTTTTTCCTTCTGTCTTATGGTCGGATTCTTCTGATGGGGGCTGGAATCCGGTTGGCTCTGCTGCAGATCCTAATGGTAAAAGATCATTTTTATCCTTTCCTTTTACATCTCTTTCTAATTTTATTTTACTTTATATTTATGGTGCTGCCCAATATTAGCTATGCTATTCAGTGTCTGTCAGTTTCAGTTTGACTCTCCTGTATGCAAATTTTTTTAGAAGTTTTTTCTTGATTTACGGGTACATGTGTATTTGCATATAATCTGTAATTATTTGTAGTATAAGATGTGATGTAATTGCTTATACTTTACATACAATTTCTTTGACGGAGAAAAAAGAAGAGAAATAATTTCTTCAACTTTTTCATTTATCAAAATTACAGGTCCATTGTTCTACAAGGGATGGTATCATTTTTTCTATCAGTACAATCCAAATGGTGCAATATGGGGAGACATAGTCTGGGGTCATGCTGTATCAAGGGACTTGATTCATTGGCTTCATTTACCATTGGCCATGGTCCCAGACCAATGGTATGATCTCAATGGCGTCTGGACAGGCTCTGCCACAATTCTTCCTGACGGCCAAATTGTCATGCTCTACACTGGATCCACCAATGAGTCTGTCCAGGTTCAAAATCTTGCCTATCCTGCTGATCCATCTGATCCTCTCCTCATCAATTGGGTCAAATACTCTGGGAACCCTGTTCTAGTTCCTCCACCAGGCATCCATCCCAAGGATTTCCGTGACCCAACAACTGCCTGGTTAACTTCTGAAGGGAAGTGGAGGATTGTTATAGGGTCTAAAATCAACAAAACTGGCATAGCTTTGGTGTATGACACTAGGGACTTCAAAAATTATGAGCGGTTGGATGGGTTACTTCATGGTGTCCCTGGCACTGGTATGTGGGAGTGTGTAGACTTTTACCCTGTGTCCAGGACAGAGGAAAATGGCTTAGACACATCCATCAATGGCCTTGAAGTGAAGCATGTGGTCAAGGCTAGCTTAGATCAAGACAAGCATGATTATTATGCTATTGGGACTTACCATGAAAAGAATAGTACCTGGATTCCTGATAATCCTAAAATTGATGTTGGAATTGGAGTCAGGTATGATTATGGGATGTTCTATGCATCCAAAACGTTCTATGATCCAGACAAGGGTAGGAGAATTCTGTGGGGATGGATCGGAGAATCTGATAGTGAATTTGCGGACGTGCAGAAGGGATGGGCGTCTATTCAGGTTTGCTTCATTCCTTTTGATATCTTTGTCATGGAAAACATAACAACATTCCAAGTAAATTTTTTTTTTTTTTTTTGTGAAATCTTATTTTTACAGAGCATTCCACGAACCATATTGCTTGACAAGAAGACTGGTACTCATTTGCTTCAATGGCCGGTTGAAGAGGTAGAGAGCTTAAGATTGAGCAGCAATGAATTTGATGAGGTGGAGGTCAAGGCCGGATCGGTTATGAAGCTCGCTGTTGGATCAGCCACACAGGTTCTTCAACTATATCTCAACTAAACACTTGATTGATTAATCATGACTTTTAGAAGCTCTTTTTACTTACAAGGTGATTTTTGGAAATAAAACAGTTAGATATAATAGCAGAGTTTGAGATAGACAAGAAGGCATTAGACAAAGCACCAGAGAGCAATGCGACGTTCAGTTGCAGCAGCAGTGGTGGGGCAGCAGAGCGTGGTGCTCTAGGACCATTTGGAGTTTCTGTTCTTGCAGATGAGACCCTCTCCGAGCAAACTCCTGTATACTTCTACATTGTCAAAGGACATGGTGGCAGTCTCAAGACTCACTTCTGCAGTGATCAATCAAGGTACATACAAGAGAACACATGACAATTTTATTAAAAAGCGAATTGGGATAAATTGTGCTATTATGATCATCTCTTATTGTTCTTGTAGATCGTCAGAGGCAACAGATGTTAATAAGCACATTTATGGGAGCTCTGTTCCTGTACAACATGGTGAAAAATTGTCTTTGAGAATATTGGTGAGTTGAATTGAATCATTTTTTTTCCTTTCAACATTTTTCCATGGATAGCAGAATCATTACTCAACAAAATTTGAAACACCGTTATTTGTTTAGGTGGATCATTCGATTGTCGAAACCTTTGCTCAAGGTGGGAGAACATGCATTGCATCTCGGGTTTATCCCACAAAAGCAATCTATGGAGCCGCTAGGTTGTTTCTGTTCAACAATGCTACTGATGTCAGTATTACAGCTTCACTCAAGATATGGCAAATGAATTCTGCATTCATTAGGCCATACCCAAATGATAAAAATTGAGAAGTAGAAGTAGAAAATGAGTTGATCTCAGTTTATCATGTAATGTCTCTCCATGGTCCAATTGGAAATGAATCCATTGTGATCAAAAGAATTGTAGTATTTAAGAGGAAGGGAGAGGCATTTTTGTAAATAAAAAAGAAATATGTTGAAATCCAATGTTGCTCATTATGAATTAAATTTATGGGATTGTAGAAAATTAAAACGATTTAGCAATTAACATATCAATAAAAATAATGAAAAGACTTCAATATTTTTATTGTGTATTTGACCAATTTCAAATGCAGTTTTGCTATTTAAATATCAAATATTATAAATTAATTTATTGTGAATATATCACCTCCCCACTTATGTATTTACATGCTTAAAATAATGGTGAGTAATTAACTTCTTCACTTTTTCATGTATCTAATGGTGATTAACTCTTATTTAAGGGTGATTAACACATCATTTCTAGTACAATTAGAATGGTAATAAAGATTTACTTATAACCCCTCTATTAATAGGTATTAATCCTTGTAACTTATCATTTAGTAGATGTTTATTTCTCATAATCCATTCCACTCATTGACTCTTATATATAGGATTTATACTCTTACGAATGTAATGGTGAAAAAAAAAGAAGAAAATATTATATATTTTTCCATTGTTTCACTATGTTTATCTACTTCTTTTCATCTTCTTTTAATTGTTTCTTTCTTTATTTTACGACAAAAAAACCCGCCCCCCAACTTTCCTTTGGCCTAAATAAAAACGGAACCAAGCCAAATAATTGGGGAAAATTTTTTTTCTTTCTTGCCACTCAATCAGTGAAAACAGAAAGCGTAAAACTTGCTTAGTCTTATAACAGATAACTTTTATAAATAGAAATAAGAAACTGTAGCAGAGCAATCACCTCTGCTCTCACTCCCTCTGTTTGTGGTTTATATATTGGATGGACATTTCTTTAATTTGATTGATGGCATAGCAATGGAGGACACAAACCCGTTCCTTCCGGTCACTAACCCTGGCTACGTTCCCCTCCTTGTTGAGTCCTACCAAACCGAAGCTCCAATAATCCGGCGCCGAAAACCCTTTAAAGAGCAACTGATGGTCGTTGCTGGGATGTTAGCGTTTGGTTTATTTGTGGCATTGAGAGGTTACAAGGTATCAAATAGTGGCCATGGACAGGGAAATGAAAATGGCTCATTCGAGGAACCCGAGCTTCATCATTTGTGTCACGCAGGCTGGCAACCGGAGTGTCAAAGAAGTCGAACCGTGTCAACAACAATTTGCAAGCATATCCATGGGACATTAGCATGTTGTTATGGCAGAGATCAGCTTTCCATTTTCAACCTGAAAAGAATTGGATGAATGGTAATGAAACAGAGGTGTTTTCTTGTTTTTACGAGGAAAGTGAAAATTAAGAGGCTTTTACATTTTTAATGATGAGAAAATTGTTTTATAGGATAGATTGTTCAATTTACCTTGTAAAATTAATTTTGTTTTTATATTATTTTTTTAAAGATATTTAAATAATGTCCGTTTTATAAAACAAATTTCTGTTAAACAATAATATTCATTTGAAATTGCTCAAATGCCTTAATAAATTTTCCTTAATTGTTAATTCATTAAGGGATTGACAACATCCTTATTTTCCTCAATTCCTGATTCGAATACCATAGTCTTTTGTAATTTGATTTACCTTTCTTTTTTAAAAAAAAGAAAAAGAAAATAATCTTAGATGATTTTGCTTCAGATCCTAATGGTCCGATGTTTTACAAGGGATGGTATCACTTCTTCTACCAATACAATCCAAAGGTGTAGTTTGGGGAAACATGGTCTGGGTTCATGCTGTATCGAGGGACTTGATCAATTGGATGCACTTACCCTTTGCCATGGTCGCCGATGAGTGGTACGACATCAACGGCTTCTGGACAGGCTCTGCCACCACCCTCCCTAACAGTCAGGTCATCATGCTATACACTGGATCCACCAATGACTCCGTCCGGACTCAAAATCTTGCCTATCCAGCCAACCCTTCTGATCCTCTGCTCATCAATTGGATCAAATACTCCGGTAACCCAGTTCTAGTTCGGCCACGAGGCATCAACGACTAGGACTTCCGAGACCCGACAACCGCCTGGTTAAATTCTGATGGGAAGTGGCGGATTTTAATTGGGTCCAAGATTGGTAAAGCAGGTATTGCTTTGGTTTACAATACTAATGACTTCAAAAACTATACAATAGAAGGAATTCTCTATGCTGTTTCCGGTCCCGGAATGTGGGAGTGTGTTGATTTATATCCTGTATCAACAAAAAGGGAAAATGGTTTGATACATCGGCTAATGGCCCTGATATAAAGCATGTGGTCAAGGCAAGCCTGGATGATGACAGGCAGGACTACTACGCTCTTGGGACATACTATGACAGCAACCACACGTGGGGTCCGGACAATCCAAGTATTGATAGTGGGATCGAAATTAGATACGACTATGGAATATTCTAC